ATAAATTTGGAGTATTCGGTTTAGTGTGTACTGTCATTTACTTTATTAGATGATAATTTTGGTCCTTACTACTACTCGAAGTAATTCTCAGTTGGAACAAATTAAAGATTTATCCAAAATCCTAGGCAACTAAGATTATAAACATTAAAACATGTAAGAAAACTTCCATATTATAATAACATATCTTATGAGATGCTCACAGATTTTTCAGACTCAGTAGCTACCGTAGAGGATATTTTAAATGTGAGACTTCATGAACAATATCTGAGAAAGAATTTCTTATCCCCAGATTTTCATAGTCTTTTCTGTAAGGCCATGACAGCTCTAAATTGTACTGTAAAATATTGTGGTATAGGAGCACCAAATTGTGTTTACACCTTAGCTAAGAATAAATTGTCTGCTTTGCACATGAATCCTAAGGGTATGTTGTTCTCATTCTTGTGGTAAATGGCATCCTTATTGTTGTACTGCATCTCAGTTGACAAATGCATGTACATTTGTCACTGGAAGGAACAGAACATGAAGTGATGAGAGCAGAACCACAAGTGGCATTTTATGTTCTGGGTTTTACAATAATTCTCAGAGAACTGGGAGTGGAAGGTCTATTATACTGCAATTATTTGTCAGGTTACAAGCAGCATTTCTTCACCATGTAGTTAGGGCACAGTTTTAGAGCTCAGATCTGGTTGCAAAGGTCTACGGGGCCCCTGGGAATGTATCCTGTAAGTCTCTGTTAGGAGACAGCCATGTCTACTTAGTAGGATTGTATAAAAGGTCATCTAATTTATGTTTTTTCCAATACCTCCTTTTCTAAACACACCTATATAAGAAGCCCCTGGGGTCATGTCACAAACTTTCCATGCAAAAGGATACTTAAATTCTATAGTAGTAGGTTTAGTATTGGATAGAGCTCAAATGTTTTTGACAGTTATTCTGAAAGGAAGAATTTGTGCAAGTACTGTTTCTCAATACAAGAAAAACACACATTCCACCTTCTCCCACATTGTAACTATTAAAAGTAGAAAAAAATGTATCTTATATTTTCTGAACATAGAGAAGCATAATTCTTTATGTGTAGTGTTACTCTTGGACTGCAGCAAACTAGAATATGTTTCATAATCCTTTATACCACCTCTCCATTAACTCTGTCCTAGGAATAATCAATCTGGCTTTTTTGACAGGACTACTGGCTCTCACTGCTATATAAGCGACTTGTTGGACCCAGAGTACTTGCTGTTCATGTTGCTGGACTGCAGAGAAAACCTCGCCCTGGCAGGGTGATTCGTGATAAGTTACGGATCTATGCTCACTGCACCAGTTACTACAAGTGAGTTATCTTGGAGCAGGTGCAACTACTGAAGGAAAAAAATGGAGATTGGGCACTGAAAACCAGCAAACCCAAATGGGGTTAATCAGTGTGAGCTACACCCACAAAAAGAAAATGTCATCTAATTCAGATGAATCTGTGTGTTCCGGGCTTCCAGAGCTATGTGCTGTGCTAAAGAATGAGATTCGTTATTTGAACAATAGTGCACTAGAGGAAAAATCCTATATAAATACATGCATAAGATTTCGCCTCCTCTTTTTCCCCCCTCTCTGTGTACAACTTGGCAATGTGGCTTTCTCAGATCATGAAGAGGGGAGGAATAACACTGGTGTTGATAGGGTAGCTCACCCTATCTCTGGAACTGTGGTGGGAACCTTTGTGGATGACATCAAGGGAGTACAGTTCCCCAAAGGCCCCATGGTTTAGTTTCAGTTCCTTCTCCCCCTTCCCACTTCCCATTTGGGGCACCTAGCCTAGCTAGAGTTTCTATGATAAGCCTTCAAAGCATCACAGGAGTGTAGGATCTGGGACTTTCCTAAAGACACAGGTTTCCATTGTTGCTACTTCACATCACCCAGATGCTTTCAGCAAGGTTCCCCCCCTCCCCCTCTTAGAGGGAGCTTTGGCCAACGACTGACAGGTAACTGGCAACAGAAACAGGGAGACATGGGAAAGGGAGAGTAGGCACAGGTCAGCAGACCCCTGGCTCCTTTCCATGCCCAGGGCAAATACTGTAAATGGGGGCCACCTGTGCACAAGCACAAGCTAATCCTCTCCTCTTCGGGATATTCTTGCCTAAGCTTACTTCAAAAGCAGGAGCACTGAAAAACTTATAAACCTTATATGCCTAAGGAAATAATATGTATAAAGCTTCAGATGCCTTGCACTATCGCATCTGTATAAACATCCTATAATAAAATAGTGCTGTTAACCACACCATCACCTTCAGGCAAGAGATATAGACTGAAAGATTACCAAAAACCACTAAAACAATTCATCTGGTTAGCTGAGATTTCAGCCAGGGACTCCCAACATGTATCTAACCATTCTATTAGCTTTCAAATACACCCCGCACCCGCTTACCCAAAGGACTTTTCTTTAGCATACAGTGTAGCTTTCTTCTGATCTATAAAATATTGCTTTGTAGGCAGGTAGCTCTTCTACATGTAGTGTACACAATGGTAAATTACAGCTAAATGGGAGGATTTTACTTAAACTTGTAAGGGCTTAGTAATCATCCTATTGCTGCCTGCAACATTAAAAACCTGAAGCCCTCTCTAATCATCCATTCATCACAGGTATAGTAACTGCACCTGTCCTACATGCCAGTTTCCTACTCAGTTTAATAGCCACTTGTAATTAAACAATGGTAGAGTTGGAAGGCTATTCATTTAACTAGACAGGGAAGTGCTACATTTACTGCATTAATGGATGTTAACTTTTTCCAGGATAGAATATTGATGCTTCTACATATATACATCCAAATTGTGCTATTCAATTTTATGATATTTCCTACTATCGAGGCTAGATCTTGAAGCAAAAATGTTATTTTATCTTACTGGAAACCTGGGATCTTAGCTGCTCTGAAAACACTTAGCTGTACTGCTAAGGGGCTGCCATAGTGGCTTCATTAAGACCAGGGAATTATTGCAGAAAATGTTGGGAGTATCCTTTAGCCAAATCTTCCTTTGCAAAGTGACAAATTGGACAATAGATATGAAAGAAGAGCATCCTGGATTGAACTGCAGGAAATGCTTCTTGCTGTTAGGCAGTTAAGCTAAATAAATCCCAAAATGGGATTCTTATCACTAGAATGTCACATTGGGATTGGAAAATAGTAGTGACTACCTTTAATTCTAGAGCTAACACATTATTACTACAAGGATTCAGATGGTTCACCTTTAAGCTCTTATCTCTCTCACAGCCATAATTATGTCCGTGGTTCTATCACAATTTACATTATCAACTTGCATCGGTCACGAAAGAAAATCAAGTTGGTGGGGACCCTTCGGGACAAGCTTGTCCATCAGTATGTGCTGCAACCCTATGGTCAGGAAGGACTTCAGTCAAGGTGAGTGCTATTGTCCCGTTCAAGGCCACTATCATGAGAACCCATTAAAGGAACGTTTTAATGACCAAGCATTGATATTAAGCACGGTATTCTATTTATTCACCTGTATATAGGGTGTGCTACACCTGCCATTTAATTTCCAGCATTTTTCTGTCCCAAAAATGTATGTTATAATAAATCATGTGAATAATGTTCACTTTTAAGAAACCATGCATTTTTGTGTTGTAAAGGCTACCTTTTTGGAACTTGTCACTGTGTCTAATTCCATCCAGTTTTAAAATACTGATGGAGAATCCAGCAATGTTGTTTTCCCAAAAATTCCACTCACACTTGACCAGAGGTTTCCATGCCCTATAAAGAAAACTATTCTGAAATACCTTCTTATTTTATTCTCCACTTATTTATGGTGCTCCGCACAAAATCAGATAAAAAAGTACAGTATTGCACCCAACCTAGGAAGGCTTATATGGTCTAACATTTCATTTTCCTAATGGCCAATGAAATGCCTGTGGGAAACCCACAAATGGAATGCGAACACAGTGGGGCTCTCCCTCATGTTCTCAGTAAGTAGTACTGAGTCATGTATTTTCTTGGTTTTGGAAATAGATTCCACCATCATGAGTCATAACTAGGTGTCAGTTAATGGTATGCTATGAATTTGTCCAATCTGCTTTTAAAGTCTTCCAGACTGTTGATCATCACTGCACCTTGTCATCATGCATGCCCTAGATCGGAGTTCTCCAAACGTTCTGGCTTTGCATATGGGGGTGGGGAGAGGGGGGGTGGTTTCGTGCAAGTGGTGGGCTGCTCACGCGAGTGGGAATGCATGCAGTCACCCGCCAATTCCACAGCCTGATTTCAAACAGCTAAAGGCCCAGGAGTTGGGGATCCCTGCCCTAGATTAACCATACATTCGCTAAAGTTTTTTATTTGTCCTGAATTCTACACTCTCAGCCCTTCTCACCATCCATGTGATTCTAGTATTGGTATAATTTATCTGACAATGGAGTCACTGTCCTGTATTTCTTTTATCATTGTCATGGAGAACGTCTATGCTATCTCTACCTTTCCCCCATTATCTGGAAAGGGGCAGCTTTCTGCTCTACATTTTGACTGAAAAAATGCATCTGGTCTGTGTAGGTCTGTACAGCTTAATGGACAGCTCCTCACTATGTTGGATGATGGAACCCTGCCAAACCTGAAGCCTCGTCCCCTTCGTCCTGGAAGAACCCTTGTTATTCCACCGCTCACTATGAGCTTCTATGTGGTGAAGAACGTTAATGCCCTGGCATGCCGGTATCGGTAGCTCTTCCAAACCCCACTGCCAAGGGCAGACCTTGAGACCCTCTCGGGGCATTTTTTGGCAGGGGTGCACAGACACCACCAATGAAAAGAGTACAGAAGTGCCTCCAGGAAAATACTGACTATCCACAGCTGTTTCTTATGTTCTTATGGTCCTGGTATCTCCACCTGCTATGGCGATTTCCAAATAAGCAGTATTTTAAACCCTTTGCAATTTTCCTATAGACTATCATAGAGTGGGGACTTTGTGCCACCTTGTGGGCAATGAAGAAGCTGTAATATGAAGAATTGTTCCTGGTTTTCTGTGCTCAGCAAGTGGAAACTCAAGATGCATCCATCACGCCAGAGACTACCAAAAAAGTATCAGCAGGAAGAGGCTTAAGAATCTGGTATTTCAGCGTTATCCCTGTGGATGGTGTGCCCCCTACTGGCAAGTGGCAACAGAACAAGCAATGTAGCCAGGAAAACGCATCTAGAAGAACCAGAATTGTATCTTGAAGAATTAAGCACCCAGTATTGCTGCAGAAGACAACCCAGACATGAAATTCGGGAGTGTCTATAACTGCTTGAGCCTATGGCATTGTTTAATGGAAAAGAAGAGGATTGGTCTTGGCCACTGTAAATAATGCTGCCTCCTTGGAGCATTTGTTGTAAATGTTAACTATTAAATTATATTTTCTGAAAAGCTGAAAAAATACTTGTAAGAACTGAGAAATTGAGGCTTTTTAAGTTTCCTACTTCTTGAGGCACTGACAAATTGTATCAGGTGGTGCATGAAAAAATGACAGAAAGGTTTGTAAATATTTAAAAACAGCTATTACATTTCTGTTTCAATATTCTGAAGCCTCTGCATCTTACTAAGTCTGGGCTGCAAAACTCTCTATGGCAGCAAAGAGCTATAAACTTCTGTGTCTCTTTGCTTTCATTTAGTGGTCATTCAGATTTTTGCAAAACTAAATCCAGTAGCTCTATCCCTGCACTTTCTAAAAGTCGTGTTTATATTGAGTTAGATGTCACAACTAATTATGAGCAACCAGACATCTGTTATGTATAACCCTGCACACTTTTCCAGTCTGAGGAGCCATCCTATTGTTTACACCCCCGTGCACTCCCTTGCCTAGCCTTTTAGATACAGCCCACCCCACATTAATTATCTCTATTCATTTCACCTAACTCAAATGTTACTAAAAGAAGCAAAGATCTATGCAGTGTTCTCCAAGATTAAAATAAGTTAGCCTGGGGGAAAGATATTTCAGATATAAAATCTTGGGATTCTTTGGTTGACATTAAATGTAAATGATAAGGAGATTTAACATAAAAATAAAAATGAAACTTCCACTATGTTAATATATACTTGTCAAAAGAAAAAGGAGAGGAACGAGAAGAAATGCAAAATAACTTTTCACAAGTGTCAATAATAGTAGCTGACTCTGTTGTTTTGTTATCAGTGTTTAAAGTACAGGCCTCACAAAATAACTAATTATTTAATGGCCTCTCAAGTTCAAAAATAGTTTTGATATAGATTTAAAGGTCCTTTAATTTTATTATAGAATGAAAATTTCTAAACTGATTTTCTTGACCTAGTTCATAATTATTTTTATTATGTGCCCTGATTGATTTAATTTCCCCTAGGACAGCAACCAATTATGGGGAAAAAGTGCGCCAATGTTGTCTTTAGGCACGCAAGACCAGGAACAAAACAAACTAAGTCTGAATCATATTATCTATGTAATTCTTTAGGGTTTTCAATTACTTTAGGTATGCTATAATAATAATTATTATTACTATTATTAATCATTACAATAACTGTGGAAGATAGATCAGCATTTTTAGTTCTATATTGCAAATGAAGGATGGGTATAGAAGTTAAGGAGCAGTAACCTGCCTTGAAAAAAACTGAATACACAGCAAAGGCAGGAACAAAAACTGTTTTGATTAAAGGATTAGCTTATAAATGCTGTAGTAATCATTTACTGTATTAACAGGGTAAACACAATGATCTTTGGAACAAATTCCAAGTGTGATGTTATGCTCCCAGCTATTATGCTATACCAAGATCAGTACACTACTCATCACAGCATAAAACTGAATAGCATGTATTGCAAAAACTTGACAACTGATTTGCCAAAAACTCCAGTACCTTTTCCTGGGATTGCCTGGGATGCCATGCCTGCCTGTAGCTTGTGAAACAATCTCTTGAGTTTCTGAATGTAATTACAGAAGCTGTATTCCCCACTTCGTTTCTCCATGTCCTCTCACCCAATTCTGTTGCCCTGCCTGCTCTGCAGTTAAATATATTGCAGCTTGAATTAGATGTACAGAATGTGGGAAATGAATTGTGAATGCAGTTTAAAGTATAGATGTGACCTCCAACCATCAATGCAAATATTCTCCCTCTTTGCATTTTCTCTGAGAATTACTGAATAAGGTTGGACCTAGGTGGTGTTTAGATGTGAGGCCAGACTGGGAACAAGAAAACGCATTCCACAAGAAGGCAACTAAAAATATTTCTCTATTGCTGCACACAAAATAATTTGAAATTCACCACCAGGACTCAAACTCAATTCCTTCTCTTGTCTCTAAACTGAGAATCTGAAGGATAGAAAATGATAGTGAGGAAGGGTTGGAAACAGAAAGGCAAAATTTAGTGTTGCTTACAGTTGAGGAAAATAACTTGCAAAGATTTAACCCAGTTAGTAAAAATGAAAGGTAAAGTGTTTTCTTTTCTCTACATTTTCTTCCCCTAAAATGTGGATAACATCTAGTTTAGAAGAAAATATGTTTTCTCAATAAAGAATTATTAAGAAATGTAGTGCTTCAATGGTTTTTGAACAACTAGCTCTGTTCAGGAAACCTAATGGACAGTGTCTAGTATATGGAAATGGAAAGTCCATTAAATTTCATTCTCTGGATTTCTGACAGTTAGGAAGTATTAACTAAAGTGATATTAGGTTGGTCACTGATATGAAGTAAAAGCATCAGAATTCTTGTACATACAGTAATGCAACAGCTAGCATACAAGAGTAGCACAGTTGCTACAGAATTTGAACATATTTTCTTGGATTCGGCAGAAGGGGAATCAATTTCTATTTTAGTAAGTCAATTGAAACCCATAGACTCAACGTCTTGTTCTCCAAGTTAATTTGAGTAAATTTCCATTACTAAACATCAGTACTATAAGCTTGAGCTGCAAAACTTTATTTTAAAGCTTATACTTGTCTTATATTTGTTACCAAACCCTTGAATAATTTAAGAAGAGATTGGATAACCAGTTGTCTGAAGTGGTGTAGGGTTTCCTGCCTAAGCAGGGGGTTGGACTAGAAGACCTCCAAGGTTTCTTTAAACTCTGTTATTCTATTATTTTTTCAATCTCTATAAGAAAATTCCAGAGTTGGAATTAGTTAACCTCATAATATGCACATCCTACTCTAATTACACTGTACAAAAAGAGTTTGTGGAGAATTTAGTTTCTTTAAATACAATAATTCCTAAAATAACAACAAAATAGAATTGTTGAACAGCAAAATGAAATAGCACTATATCCTGGCCTGTTCCTGGTCACATAAAGTCACAGCAATTTGCAAATGTTGGACCAGTATTTTCTATAGGATTCCTCCTGTGGCTCAAGTCCTTTACTGCACTGGCAGTAGTGCATCAAAGTAATTCTATCACTTGCTGCTCCAACGTAATCTGAAATTGTACTTTGATTTTATCATATATATACCACGTTTCTCCAACAATACGGCCTCCACCAATAGGAAGGCCCAGCATGATTTCTAGGCATGAGGTAAAATTAAGCCCTGCCCCCAAAATTTAGGCCTATTTAAATCATGCGTTTCCCCATTTCTCACATCGTTCGTTAGAACTGCACGAGGTGAAGAGAAATGGGCATGGGAAGGGTGGGGGGGATGGGGAGAAAACTTGCCTTTAGGAGTGCCCTGCAGGTAGCCTCGAGAATACCTCGATAGCCGATAGAAGCTCCCTGAAGGCAGAGTCCCCAGCCGCTTCAGGGCGTGGCATGGCTACCTGTGTCCCCTTGCCTTTAGGGCAGTCTCTTTCAGGCGATGGAAGCTCCCCAAGTGCAGTCACCAGCCACTTCGATTGGCTGGTAGAAGCGGCCTCAGGGCGAGTGCACACACACACTCCCCTCGCCGTGAGGCCGCTTCAATCAGCAGACGAAAGCTCCCTTGAAGGCAGAGTCCCCAGCCGCTTCGGAGCGAGGTGTGGCTGCCCATGTCCCCTCGCCTTTACGCAGTCTCTTTCGGGCGATGGAAGCTCCCCAAATGCAGTCACCAGCCACTTCGATCGGCCGGTAGAAGCGGCCTCGGGGCGAGCGCACACACACACTCCCCTCGCTGCAAGGCCACTTCTACCAGCCGATTGAAGTGGCTGATGACTGCATTTGGGGAGTTTCCATCGCCTGAAAGAGACTGCGTAAAGGCGAGGGGACATGGGCAGCCACACCTCGCCCTGAAGCGGCTGGGGATTCTGCCTTCAAGGGAGCTTTCGTCTGTGACTGGGTGGGCATGGCCAATTCCATGCCACTCACTCCCACCCAGTCACCTCCTGCTCTGGAATATGGAGCGAGTCTCCACCACCGCCCCACCATCACCCTTACCTTCTCAGGCCTGGGGAGAGGGGGCAGCCAGCGGTGGGATCAGCCAACAGAGAGCTGCAGCAGAGGGCTGAAAGAGCCGCATGAGGCTCCAGAGCTGCAAGTTGCAGATCCCTGACCTTGACTTTTCTTCTCAAGCCTTCTATTAGGAGTCTCCTGCAGAAAAACATGTTCCGTCCATATTTGTTTTAACTTGGCAAACACTATTCTACAGTATGCTTAATTGGGGTATCCACCATCCTACCTTTCAATGATCCTTGTTACAATAAGTATCTTTAATTTAATTAATATTATAGATATAACAAAATAGAGGCATTTAAAATGATAAAATTAAAAACAAACTCTATATTAACTGAACACAGTTGTCAAGTTATTGTACAAAGTATCCCTGATATCCCTTACAAAACATAATAAGATAATTGTGGTAAATTATTGT